CAAGCAAAGCTCGACTGTTGATCTGGTAATCGACCAAAATATCGCTATAGGCATGGTTTCCTCTTTCTATGCATTTCTCAACAAGGGAAGAAGACATAAAATAAAATAAAAAATTGCGACTGCAAAGTTATAAACTATACTTATTCAAGTTGTTTTATGGCTAGGAAAAACCTGCGATATTTTCGCCTTTTCGAACAGAAGCAAAGTTTAAAAGGATAAAAGGAGAAGAATTATGGTCAGCCGAAAAAAATAAATGTATTCGCAGCCCATAGAACTAGGGATAAGTTTCTAAAGAAATTGTGGTGCTGCGTCGGTGGGAGAGTATAACAGGGTAATTCTGTATCATCAACTGAGTTGATAAGTTCCGTAAATTGGCCACCATAAAGAGTTAAAAAGCTAACGTTTCGAGCGTTAGCCCTTCTACAGTCCTTCGTTAGTTGTGTCCTTTTATTAACTTTAAACTTATTTTATTTCTAGTTCTATGCAAGGCAGGCTCTCAGGGGGCTATCATTTACAGTTCGGAAACCTCGAGCGTTCGCAAGCAAAAACAGTCACGTGCAAATGTCAAAAAAGCTAAAAAATCACTTTCCTCTCATACACTGTAATCTCAATTTGCTCAAAAATACGTGAAATAAATTCCTTTTTGATAATGAACTATTCTTTTTAAGTATAAAATGTTTTACGAACGTATGAATTTGAAAGAAGAAAAAATGCAGGCAATTCGATTATGACCTCAATCTCTGTTTAGCGACATTTATCTTGCATGTACGTCGACCGCCTGAAAAATACTGGCATCAAATTTCTGTTTTTCTCACAGTAAATTCCACATTTATCTACTTTTCGCATGTAATTCGAGTATGAAGTAAAATGCAACATTTTATTTCACACTCGTTATAACAAAGACGATTGGATTGCATAAGAACCGCACGTGCTGGATGAACGACCTTCGTGGTAGCTCTAATAATGACTGTTTTGCAACTTTCCGTGAAGTCTAGGTGAATCTTTTGTTCTATAATTTCTCCTACTGAGAGAATGAAGGATGTCCATCACTTTGAGAAGTCTTGGTGAGAAGTCTTTGCAATATATCCTTAAGCCGTTGTCTTCACCTGAGTTTCTTACCTTGTGAAAAGTGACCGATTCAAGAATCGTGAACGCGTGTCCTGATCAGTGCGTTTTTTTTTCTTAGGAGAATTGCATAACTAATTTGAAAATAAATTTTGCCTCAAAAGTAGCTCCACTCTATTCACATATGAATGAATATGTCCACTAGAAACAGGTCACCTCATATCATTGGATTTTCACATGATTTGCGATTTTTTTTCACATTTGATATTAATGTCACGTCTGATATTAAAAAAGGAGGCTTGAATTCAGTCTTGCTGACATAAGCTTAAGTTGTTAAAATAACCTGCACGTGTTGAACAGCTCTTCAAAAATGGTAGGTTCTTATTTTTCTTTTCTTTTATCCTTCTGTTGATAAGCATGATTTCAGCCTCAAGATTAATTTAGCTGTGTTGCAGAGCTGTACTCGATCTTTGCAACTATCAGCAGCAAATTAAATTTTGGTATTCATTTCGCGTAAGCGAGTTATTTTACTAATTTTAAATCACTAAGCGTTGTGTCAGGTTCGCTTCTTGAAAAAAATAAATTGATAAATAAGTGAATTATAGAACGTTCCTCGTAACAGATTTAATGAAAACTCATTAGGAAACGATAAATTGCGGACAGAAATTTTAAAAAAATACGAAGTTTTTTCAGACACTTTTTTACCATTCGGTAACAAAATCTTGACAGCTCCACGTTCTAAAGACTTAGCGTGATCAAATCTTCGAAGACCGTATACCTTAAAATAGCTTTCTTCAGGCTCCGTCGCGTTTGGTGACTACAGAAAATCGAACAAGAGGGCTTGAAAAGGAACGGGGTTTAAAAATTCCGAAAGCGATTGCAATACACAGGTATATAAAAAATAAAGATTGCTGTCAAACGCAAAAAAGATCAGGTCAGGCGCGGTCAAGCTAAAAATGACCTTCGAAGAAAAATTATCCGAAATCGATTTAACTAGTCTCCTTCAGAAATATAGAAGATACACCATTAAGATAGAACAGCAGATGAATTACCCTACTCTAAATTATCTTAGCAACTTAACTTGTTAGTACACGCATCTGCAGCTTTTGAGGAACATTTCATAGTAAATTGATGAAACATGACACTTAACAATTTCATCTAAAATTAAACTCTTCCCTTTCGCGTTTTTCAAATGCGTAGTAAATTACAAATGATTTATTTTGGAAAACTGGAACCTTTTGACATTGAATGTGAAACATCCTTCATTCGTTCACCAAATACTGTAATGTACTAAATCTTGGAAAATGAAGCCCGGGCTTATTTAGGAGCTAATGGGTAAGTTTCTAAAGAAACTGTGGTGCTGCGCCTGGCGATGGGGAACATCACATGATAATTCAAGTTGGTTTAATCAACTGAGCTGATAATGCAAATTGGCCACATGGTTACCTCAGTCGATATAACCAGATTGTAACATATAGGGGCACTCTGACTTGACAATCAACGGATTACGGATATTTGGTGTTTCAAGTACGGCACTGGAAAGGCGCATGAGATCTCTTTACAAGAGTTTATAAGTAATTTTTGACCACCTGCTTCCCTGAAACAGTAGTATGCTTGGCAAATAACGCAGCTAGCATCACGAAAACTAATCAAGTGCTTGATCACACATGAACGTCATAGCTTATAATGATAGACCAGACACTCCTGCATGCGTTAATTAATGAATTAATAAATTAATTAATTAATTAATTAAAGTTTTCCTGTTTTACAACCAGAATGAAATGCACAAGAGAAGGGCACGTTCGTTTGTTCCATCAGGAGGGTAATATCATGTCGAAAGCGAAAGGTGTGGGACTGAATAATGGTAGAATCTCTACTACTTGTTCCCGCAGCTTCGCACCTCTTTTTCCATATACCATAAAGAACACCAGCTACACGTGCTAATTTCCTTTTTTGATGCTTAGAACTTATGACCGCAGCAAAACACGAGGATGTTTCGCATACTCTCTATGATTATGTGATCTGACCTTCCACTCACAAGATTTGCACGTCAATTCTCTGCATCGCCTAGCATACGTTGCTTTTAATTATAGCTCTGAAAAATTATCCTAAATCAACAATCCCCTGATTGAACATTTTGGGTTTTTTCATTCTTTCTTTCCTCTTTTGAAAGTTTATGGATTTTGGGAAAAGGCTTTTTCACTCCTGGAAGTGAAAGGGTTAATTTAAGGGAAAAACGTTGTCCGTGTGAGCTACACAGTGGGTTTGAAATTACATCACCCTGTGATCCTGCAAAAGACTTCCAGAACATATTCACGACCGTGTAACCGCTAAAACTCCAGTTGTTCTCGTTCCTCGACTGTGAGCCATTTATGTATTTATCTAGAGCAAATCTGATCATTTGTTAGTGTCACTTGTTCCTACACCCTTAAGGGTGTTGGGAATTTCCCAAAATTTACAAATAAAAAAGGTGAAAAGCATATAAACAATTTTACTCAAGCTTCGAAACTCATAGATGTCGTTTTAAAAACCATAAAAAGTTCTTCTATTTGAGCTTCTTTACATAAATTTTGTTGGCGAGAAAAAAACAAAGAATAGTCCCGTTCGGGTGAATTAATTTTTTGGGAAGTCGCCGGGTAGGTTTTTCATTTCTTTGTCGTGCTCGTCTGACTTCGCAACAACACATAGTCGTCAGCCTGTCTGGGTCAGATGACTCAGGCTCTATAGCGTCACGCAAGGCAATTATTGTCTGAGCGTGATCTCAGCTGTGAACAACTTCACATCACGACTCTATCATGTGTTTCTGACCCTCTCTATGATTTTGTAGGATCGATACATTCTCCGAACAGATCCTTGTTTTTGTTCTGTTTGTTTTTGTTTTTTGCCTGAAAAATGCTTAAAATATAAATCCCATGTGCCGACCCGAAAGCTTCCTTAACTGGCCACTAATTATAACATGCCTGAAAACGTCCTTCAATGATGAAGAAAAAAGTGATCAGTGCAAACAGTCTTGGTCACGGTGAGTGTGTGGCTGACTTGTAGTGTGAGCGCCGTTAAGAAGGGCAAATGAGATATTTTGTCGAAATAGCAAAAACTTTTTTCGTTATGAAGGTGTCTATGACCAGTATTTGACGTTACCCAAAGAAATAATTTTGTTCTGCTTCACTATCAAAGTCCTGTTCGCAAATTTTAAGTTGCTAACAGTCTGATCTTTATCTAAAAACATCTGTGAAAGTGACTCAAACACGTGTTCACGAATAAATTTCCAAGACAAAAAATTGTCGAATACTTGAAAAATAAGACTTGAATGCTTCGATGCAACGTTTCGTCTAGGCCTCGCGATTCATCAGCTGAGATACTTTTCGGAAACTGCATATTCATTAATTTCATTTGAGGCGCGTTTTGGATGCTTCAAATTTTCAGCAAAACAACTTTCGCCGGACCATTTTGATGCAATTTTTAGTAATAGCTAACTCATAAAAATAAAAATTATCAAATTTGTGAACTGATGTTGTATTCCCCACATTTGCAAATAGAGGCTCTCAAAATTCCTATCGACACGCATAATAGGATCATCGCTACCGATTAAGCGAATTCTTTTTAGTATAGTTGATCCTGCCACAAATCTAAAGCAACAAAAATACTCACTATTTCCTATTTCCTAATCAGCCCCCGTGACAGCAACCTTTGTGGGTTACGGGACGCTAAGTCAACGGTCAAACGATTTCCTCGATGGCACCCACTGAAACAATTCGAGTTCCATCAAAGGAAGATTTCGTTATGTAGCCTAGCTGCGCGGTGCTACACAATTTAAGTCATATAGTCGAATTTGATAGGATCCAAATAAATCTTTCACCGCATTTCACGTGAAATGTCACCAGGTCCAAAGTACAGACCTTTAGACTTTCACTCGGAGATGTTCCTCGGGAGAGATGAAGAAGAGACAGTAATGAGTTAGACAAGGCCACTAAAATACATCAGAAAGGGGGATTGACAAAGAAAAACGAATTGATGTCGCCTTCTCACCGTTTCTGACTGATTTAGCCGATGTAGCCGTCGAGGTACCTTTCCCACCCTTTTAAAATCAGCGGTGAGCCAGAGAGAAAGTTTTTTGGGGAAGGAACAAGAAATCTGAAGCGGTAGAGGAAACCAAAAGATTCTGTGAGATGAAGTCAACTTGCTTTCTTATGTATTTTTGAGAGATGAATACACATTCTCTGTGTGTTTGTAGTATTTCCACGTTAACGGTGAGTGATTTGGCGCTGAACGAACCAATGTTCGATCTTTCATGTTAGGTCTGTTTAGGCCATGTCGAGCGGCGCAGTCTTTCTAATTGGACTTTGCCCTCCCAGTTTGAAGAAATCTCTATAAAGTCTTTTTCCGACATTAAACTGTTTTTCAGTTTTTCAATGTAACAAATTGATTACTAAGCCTTCGAGAGTTCTTACAAGCTTTTTTCTTTACGATCTCAATCTTTGATCTTCTTCGCAGGAAAGTTGAACGATGGATTCGGACGCAAAATTAAAATACTTTATGCTAATCAAGTCCCTCTGATAAGCATAAGCAAAGAGCCCAATTCTGCCTTGTCAGTCAAGTCTTATACGACAACATTATGCTTTTTCAAGAGTAGTTAACAACAAACATGGCTTTTTTCCTGAAAAACCTTCATGAAAAACCTTTGGACTAAACTTCCAACTACTAGGCTACTGGTGGAGTTTTCTAATATTAGCAACGTGTACGTGAATAGAAGAATTCATACAACTCGATTCCCAATTGACCTTTAGACCTCCAAATAACCGGCGCTGTAAGGAAACTTGTAAGAATTATATACAATGGGCTGCAATTTTTCACCGGTTACTCAGATAATGTCAAACTTAAGGCAACATTTTAAACAATCACTGGTCACGATATTTATTTTTAAGAGGGACGCTTGAGTTAAATAAGCATTTTACCAGTAATTGCTTAGGGTTAGGGTTAGGGTTCAGCCATCTTGGGCTTGATCACAAAAATCAACTTTTTTTGTCTAAACTGAAGATGGCACCAAACGTGGTTTGTCTTGAAAACGGCTAACTTTTGTTTAAATGGCTGGGCTTCAAAAATTTGGTCTCCGGAAATTATCACTCTGAATCCAGTGTTCATATCAAATGTAGCTCCAAAGAAATATGTGGTAAGCTCCCTGTCGATCCTGTACATAATGGGATGAGTAAATATATTGTTCAATAAATGAACGAGGAGGAATAGAAAAAGAAATGAACAAAAGGGGGGCTGAAGAGTAACCACAACAAAGTTACTCACTAGGTAACCTCCGTTGAAACTGAGGGAATTTTTTTTTCTCAACGTTAATAAATTATACCGATGCAAAATTATAATAACCACATTTCTTTGTTTGATAAAGAGTCATGGTGGTAGTTTGGATGATACTGGTGACGAGCAAGGCCATGATGCACGTAAGTTTTGTGCCAGTTCTATGGTAGATCTAATCTGTTTCTAAAATCTCCTTATTTGGCTTACAATGGTGCGACGTAGGGAAGACGAGTGTAAAGGTCACTTCCAGACTCCTTCGAATGCCGCTTCATTGCAAGGATGCAACATGCGGAAATTTCAGTTTTAAGCTGCGCTAGCCGTCACTTTACATGACTCTACTTCTCTAATTAACCTTTGCATTCTTTCTTATCGTTCTATTTTCAGTTGCTATCACGGCGTTAATCGTAATGGGAGCCATCCTTGCCATTCAGTATACTATCTTAGTGTTGACTTTATGCTGCAAAGTTTGGGACAGAGCAAATGGGTAAGTCTCTTTCTCCTGGTCTGTACGTCAATTGAAGAACATTGAGTAAGGGTCTGAAACTGAGTGGTAGGAAACTTTCTTAAATTGAGTAGGAACACGTTTTAGTCATCAGAGGTACGAGAAACCAAAAATTGGCTTTGGGGTAAGTATAAAACTGACTCAGGGTCCAGAGAAGTGACCGAAATCTCTAACTAAATTAAGGGAATCCGTGAAGAACTGAAAGTCCTCATACCGTTCCCAAAACAGGATTCTGTCATTATTGGGAATCTTTGCATGTTTTAGGCCTTCTGTCTTTGGAGGCAGGTGGAAGAGCAAATGAGAGACAAACGGAAGTAGCAATTGACAGATAAACGGCTGCGCAATTTCCTCTTCCTGCCTGACCCACACGATCTTCTACGCGCTGCTTTTTCGCGTAGAGGACAACGTAGTGGGGGAGGATGACATCTTCTCTCTTGAGTTTTAATGGCTTATAATCAAGCTATGTATCGATGCGAGAACAAGAATTGGTATAAATCACCAAAAATTCAGCTTGATTGTCGTGTAGGCGTTATTGACCCAATGTGAGGTCAACAGGTCAAGATGACTGGATATTGGCCGAGCTCCTTTTTTGCATTTTATGGACTTCGACATCGTTTCGCTCCATGAAAACGCAAAAATAGAATGAAGGCAATATCCAGCCATCTTGACTTAACAAGCTTGGTCAATAAAGGATTTATTATAAAGCTGAAAGTTTCCGCTTTATTAAGAACCAAGATTGAGTTGTTTAATTTGAGGGCTGGGAAAGAAAGCCAATTGTGTTTGTAACACAATAAACCCACAAAGGTTTGACTGTCTTCTGCTCCTTTTTATGAATCCATTGCCGACATTTTACAAAAATTACGAAACTAGTAAGTCCGTTACAGGTATTTGTTTTTCTTGAACGGGATCAAAGGGAGCAATTCCGAGCGGGCAAGATGGGCCCATCTGTGGAGGCAGGTGAAAGAGCGAGTGAAATGTCATTTACGACACATGTCATATTGCCCAGGGAAACTGCCAGCGATATAATAAATTTTACTTACCACTCCTTCCCTATAACCCATTTAGAGTTTCAAAGACATATGAATAAGCTAAATAATGTGTTTAGCTTGATGTTCATATCTAAATTAAATCCGTAATAGTGCATATCTAGACCCGTTTTAGACCACTTACTGACAATTATTTGTTTTTTTTTTATTTATTAATTTATATATTTTTTGGTTTAGAACCTCTATTTCATTTAGACATCAGTCAGAAGAACCGGATTCTGAATTACAGTGTATAAACAGATTCCCTTTCCTACCTTCATATGAGATGGCGGTAGGTGAGGATCGTTCAAGTCCGCCAAATATTTACACGACGTAACCATCTTGGATGCTAGTATTGTCAACCAGATTATTCACGATGTAGTAGGCTAGATGTAGTCCCAATGACTCGATGAACAAAGCAGCTGATCATCCCAAATTAAAGTATGGACACCACTCGGTAATCCATCCGATGAAGCGTTACATTGGAGATAAGGGGTCTCAATGTAAAAATTTTCATTGACTGAATTACATGATAATTTTGGTATCAACTGTGCTCTGGAACCATTCTCTTTATCAATACCACTGTAACGTATAAGATTTAGTGTAACATTTCAGACAACTGGAGAATTTACTGTTAATGAGTCCATGTGTTAGAATATGTCATAACAACGGTATCAACCTACACTCTGTAAGCGCAATCTTTATTTACACTACTATGCCAGATTGGGCAGAATTTCTCACTTGCGTTGCTGAGAATTCCGCACACGCTAGTTCAGTAATCTTGGACTGTATACTTTCTCTTGATTCAGGTTTTATTGACGACAATTCAGCATTACACGTTCCGTTCTGCAATCTATCTACTCTCTTACATTCTAATCCTAGGGTTACAAAAATGCTGCATTTATTAGCTAAGGAAATCCACACCCAGATACGTAATTCCGTGTGGGATTCAGGACTCACTCACGTTCTACAACGATTCGTGGGCACTGATATCCTATTAAACAAGGCTTTACTTGACAATCATGCTGCTAGGTTCCCATGCACTTAAACGCCCTGCAAATACCTAATTTCATACATCAGTGCTCGCAGAATTAATTCGATTACCCTATGCCGCTCCCAATTACATGCTACTTCTAATTATAACGTTAACTCTGTACTTTAACGGTAACGAAATTACAACTCACCTAATACACAGTTAAATTCATAATATATCCAGGAAATCAGTTTGTGCGTGGAAACATTTCACAACATACATGTAACAATAGCATTCACATCTATGATAACATTAGACTCATCACAAAAATTTCAATAAGCTCTGAATCTAACGAAAAATTTAGTGGAAAAATGGATCGGTGTCATAAAAATGAAACGTTATTGTTTTTTAAACCAAATGTTCAGCATTTAACAATATTGAACATTAGGGTGCCCATGCAACAACTGTTGTGACGTTTTGTTTTGTTTTTTCCATTTAAGTCAATAACATATAAAAGCGTTTCAATTCGAAAAATTTACAAAGCATTAATATTTACAAGTACCTCAATAAAAACCCGTATATATGTAAGGAGGAGAGGCGATTTAATCAGTTTCATGCATGGGGAGCAGAGATTCATTACTGTACCTTCCCCTCCCTGAAAAATGCTGGTTATGCCCTTTAGAACATCGACAAATGAGAACTTTGCGATTAGGCTGATACTCATAGATGCCTGGTGCATTCTGCGAAATTAGATTAAACTTAAGATCATAAGGGCTTTGCTCTCAGTATCAGCAAATTTGATAACAACTGACAGCAGTATTTTAAGCACATGAGGCTGCATAAAATATCTTATATGCTGGTGTAAATGTGGCGATTTTAAGGAGGAAATGACGTCAACGGTCTGTCATTGTGCTTAAGCCGGGAACCTATGAGTTACCACAAGCTTTAAGAGAAAAAGCTGAGAAAACCACACTTTTCGGGAGGTTTAGCATTAAGCCTAAGGTTTTGTTATGATCGACTAAGCAGACATTTCTTTGAAGGTGTGGTTGACGGAATGAATTCCTCGGCCATTCACGTTCCTTTAGTGAGTTGTTTCTACAAAATTACAACTAAGCCACGATCCGAACCTACTTCGCCTCTTAACTGGAAACAAAATAGATAGGAATGAAATGATTTATAGAACTAAATTTTCTTCATATATAATAACATAATCTCCTGCACACGTTTACTTCTGTTGAACTAAACAAAATGAGATTTATTCCGCTAGTCTTGAAAGTGGAGAGAGGAAAGTTGAAAGAAGTTGTCTCAAAATCTTGTTCATCACTTGTGCTAAATTTGCCCAGCTGTATCGAACTTATGGAAAGAATGTGCATGGTCAAGGTCACAACATTATTCTCAAGGTAAACCAAACGAGGCCGTGGGCGAAAAAATTTTAACTAACAATAAAAAAAAAAATGACAAGAATTTCACCCCACAACGGGTCCACTCATCTAGTGCTTTCGAAACGTGTCTTTTAGTAGAAATCTGGAATGGTTCACTGATTCTACGAGAGGTGCTAAAGGACTGATATGTTTTAACTCTAGAATAAATCAGTCAAAAATGATAAAAAATAACCTAGGTCTGTTAGGAATTAATAAAACGAATGATAAAAATCTGGTCAGAAATTAAGTCCTAATTTATTTGCCCTTCACGACATGCTTGGCTGTTGCCATAGCAAAGGTAGAACCAAAGAGGTTTCAAGAAATAATCAGGAAACAGTAAGTTGCATCAAACATGTTTTAACATGACATAAAAATGAAATCATAATTTCAGACAAAGGCACTGATCCTACTTTGGCACTGCAATCTCAATTATTTCGTAAAGGCTGTCTTGCAAAAACAGCGAAAGTTGTTGTGAGTTATCTAACTTCACAGTTGATCCATCGTTATAACTCGATCACGAGAAAGTAAATAGATATGATACTTTCACCCCCTTTGAATTAAAACTAACCGATGACTGGGCGAATCGTTTACAAATTCAAATTTGGCCATGTGAAATGGATTATTTTGGCTTTGTAAAACAGCCAAAACGTAACGCTGGAACGAACACGTTAATTGAAAATAATCAACAAGATTAGTTGAAAACTACACTATCAACGTCACGTCACGTCACGGTAGTTCGCCTCTCTAGATTTCTTTTTTTTTATTTTTCATTTCATTTTTGTACAGAAGCAATCAATCTTTCGTTTTGAATCAACGGAGATGAAAATGTCCTTAAGAGCACCTTTACTGATTTCAAACACGGAGGTATCACTGTTTATGACGAACAGACAACTCAAAAACTGGGTATATTATGCGTTTTCACTTTGTTTTTTCCACGCTTCCCTGATGTCCTTTGTTTCCTTAAAAAAAAAACACAATGCATGCTTCAAGTGTCTTGCTGGGTCTGATGACTCTATTCTGTGGCAAAACTTGCATATTCCAATGCGATATTATTCAAATCTGCCTGCAAAGGTTCAGTGACTACAAACTTTGAACACAACTAATCTATGATATAAGTTCTTTTTCTTTGAAATTTAGCGAAACTTTAGCGAACAGTCAGGCGCAGAGAAATGTTTGCGGTACAGATGAACAACAGGGCTTGTCTCTTTGTTATTTTGCTGCTCAGTATTTTAAGCGAAGGTACGTAAGTTAACTGTTTAATAAAATATTTAGAGCCGAATATGTTTAAAGAAAGGAAAAAAGGGTAAAATTAACTGTCTCGTGGATCTTCTTTCACAGACATGAAGTGATGATACATGTAAGCTTATTTTATATTCTGAGCAAACGTCCTTCGAGTACAGGAGTTAAATGTGCAGTTCACACGCAATTGATAGATGCGCCATTTTGAAATAATTCGTCCGTGCCAACGATTCTACGACTCTTCGCGAAAAGATTCTAAATTTTGTCGAAGGTTACTGACCTGATCCATTGACAAGAGATGAAAAACCGTTAAACCTGCATAAACAAACAAAGATATGTTTCAAGCACAAAAAATTAATTTAATGAATGACCTTCGTCGTTCATATCAAGCTGTCGTTTAGAAATTTCCTGTAGAGTTTCGAAAATGTGTAGGTGTTTTCATTGTTTTGTTTTTCTACGAAAGGCTATGCAAATCTATGCAAACAATCGAACATCACTACTCCCAAATATTCAAAATGCGTGTTGCTCTTAAATTTACATTCCTTTAGGAGTTTTTTCCCGAAACCTTGCCGAAAATTAGAATCCAACAACAATGTTGCGAAACATTTGATTTGTTAGAGAAATTACTGAAATTTAAAAGTCAAGACGAGATTGCAGGATTCCTACACAAGCTGCTTGATAACTTTTAAGGGAAATCACTAGTGTTAGAAACTCAAATGAGTTATATTTCAGTCATATGTCATGGTAATAGGACTGAGTGGAGTCCAACTCGGTCTGTAATCATACGAGTGATGACAAAAATCGAACGACCGCGCCGCTAGAGTCCAATTTGTTTATCACGAGTATGATTAAAGACCGAATTGGACGACTTATTACCTTTTAATCATAAAGATTACAATTTCCGAGAAAAGAAGAATTGCCAAGTAATGAAAGAAAGGGAATATTTGAATTAAAGGACTGACAAAAGAGGCGTAAATGTACACTGTTTCTATGGTGATTGAACCAAGGTTGTGATTTGTTGATTTAAACTACAACTTTGAATTTGATTGGCTTATTGAACTTCCGCAAACAAACTGTTCAATGGTAACTTGGTAGGTGACTTAGAGGAAAATAGGAGCTTTTTTAGACCAATTACAATCGAGGAAATCGTAATTTTTATGATTAATACTAAAATACTGCAATGTGCTGCATTGTGCAATGAATCATGTCGACTCAAAATATATATGTTTCTTTCAGGCGCAGCAGACTGCACCGATTCAATAATATGCTGTAACAAACTAAACGAAATACGTAAGTTTACCATTGCATCTAATTATATCGATTGCTCGGAGGCATATTTCCCACAAATTATTAACCGACTACCATAATCTGGTGGTCTTCCGTGTCTTTTAAAACACTTTACGGTGACCAATTTATGTTATCAACTCAGTTGACAATACTAAATTACCCTTCTATGTCAATACGCATGCTCAGAGTCTACTCAGTGGCATAGAAATTACACCAAGCATTGCATGGTAGGTTTCAGGTCGATAGATAAATGAAGTAAACATGGTATTTGATATCTCCTGTTTAAGAATAGGCCTACCATTTTGTTCATTATCTCAAACTGATAAATGAATGAAGTAGTGAAAAGGTAAAACAAAGAATTGCATGTCGTTACATGATTAAATTTATATATGGCAGTATTTTTACATCACAAAGATGAAGGTTAGCTTAACGTACATATGCCATCTGCCTATTAATAAAGTCATTTACTCCCACTCTAAAAACAGTTTGAAAGATAAAGTCATTTAACATTTCAGTCCAATCCAGGTTAGCTTAACTTACATGTGCCATTTACCTATTAATAAAGGTTTTATAAACTCCCCCTCTAAGAAAAGTTTGGAGGATAAAATGATCCAACATTTCGGTTCACTAAAGGGAAATCATAGAGCAGTATAGGCTATTGTGGCTTTTGTGGCCGCTTTTTGCGAGCAACAATTAGCTCCTTAAGGCTTGTAAATTACGTACTGACCAAAGCAATACGTAACCCAGGCCAAATTCGTCAGGTAGCCTGGGAGTACATTCCGTGAAACGCAACTTTACAGCTACGTTGATGGGTTTAACGACCACACCTCCATTGACACCGACGAACACAGGAAAAAACTTCGTGTAGAATTGCGAGGCACATGTAGCAGCTCCAGTGTACTATAACGTTTTGCAATTTGACATTGATAGTAAATTGAATGTTATTCTTCCCTTTCAGTGATCATTGCTGGTGTCATAGCAGTTTGCTTCTTCTTTTTCATCCAGTGCATTGTCATTGTATGTCTGGCTAGTAAGCTGAGCAAGGTCCAGAAAAGGTAACTAGTTTTCAATTAATAAATCATGTCAAAAGCTTAAACCTAAAACTTGTTTTTCCTGTTAAAAGAAGATGGTTGAACTCAGTCTGATCATATATGAACATATAGAAATGTAATAGATTCCTGTGATTTATTCCCCCTTGCAACCGCTTTTTGAGTATATTTAATATAATCTCAGTCACGTGAACATGACAGAAGACACTGGGGACGTTTGTGCCACACCGAGTGTTATCCACTCATTGGTTTCAGGTTGATCAAAACTGTTACTCATTACACATTTTTCACACAGAGGATTCTCAGCCATAATCATCTAAGTGAGGTTTGCCTAACAAGGATCTTTTATCACCAACATATCACCTCTGCTTGTTTACATTTTCATTCAAGAGCGAGTAGTTCAAGTCATTTGGATGTTTCTTTTCAGGTTGGACGTAATGAGTTTGTCCAGAGGATCAAATAAATTGGGCAGCTCTTACCCTGTAGTATCGTACCATGAGAATGCGCTGGAAGAAAAAGAGGAGCCGAATGGGGTAAAATGTCATACAGTATAGATGTTAAGGATCCAACATGTTGATTCCGTCCGAGGGGGGAGGGGGAAGGGGCTATAGGAAATTGATTGCAAATTAACTGCCAGTCAGGGGAATCATAAGAATACAGAGCCTTATGCGGGTATCAGGTAAATTTTATCCTGACTCAACCAAAATCTCGGCCCACCTCCCCGACCATCCACCTCTTGGAGATGGGTGGGGCATCCCTTATACGAATACAGTCTGGTATCATATTATCCGCAATATATTGTTAATAATGACTCATTACAGAATCCTCGCGCTCGTCGTATCTCTGGAGCCGTTCCATCCGTTGGTGGACCTATCAGAGCCAATCCAATTACCATTTTTGACAACCCACAAAGCAAAGACCAGGAGATTTGGTAAGTTTCCACAAAGTGAATCACGTTACACAGCGAAAAAACGAGAAGAAACGCTACTACATGTATTAATACTGAACAAAAACTTCGAAGCCTACTTATGTTACTAATTTAAAATACCAAGTTTAGAGCTGTTACCGAAATATCATGGGTAAAATAAATAATGCAGTAGTGATCATTGGAATGTCACGCATACTAGTCGCTAGTTATCGTTGTAAAAACTATATGCAACTCTTGTTGAACCCAATATCTTAAGGGCGAGGTCGATCTGACAAGACTAGCCTTTACGTCCATTTACCATTTCGCGGCCGAGCGATATTAAACAAACAAGCAAGATGTTTACAGATTCTTGAAAAGTTGTGTAAACTTAGGCCTAAGCCTAATCAGCAAAGGGTTGGGAATTCTCCATCATTTTCTTCTTCGTTATTAGGGAACAACTGATATTCAATAGATATTTAGATGGTGAAATGTTTAGCGACTACCAGAGCCTTCGTTTTGTGGATTTAACTTAAGTCTTTATGAGCCTTTTTTTAATGGATGTAAAAGGGTGCACCTTTCCTAACAGAGTAAATTACGAAGGAAAACAGCTCTTGAAGAGACAGCGAAAAAGTCTAAAAAAATTACAGTCACCCAGTCACTATGCCATTTCGTTTCCAATACTAATAATAATAATATTCTACCATCTTTTATCTCTACAGGGGCTTGTACTAATTTAGGTGCTGGGCACCGGGAACCGATTCAGAATTTCCTAGGATTCTAGCATAGTTGTAGTTACAATAACTCCTGGGCGGTCATTTAAGCTTATCATAGATCAAGAAACATAATTTCTTGTTAATTTAGATTTTCAAGTAATAAAATATATTTTTATTTTTTTAGCTCGATGCATTTGCCCTTATCGAATAAACTGTAGCATCTCAGATAATTAGGAAAGCGTTTTCGTTTAGCTTTCAGCCTATTTTCGATTACACTAAGCACGTTCGTTCTTCGGTGGAAACACTAAACACTTGTTTTGCTATACGATTATAAAAAAAACACTTTATCGTAGGTTAGCCGTCATCGCTTTTTTCTAACAGGTATAGGCTCTTTGCTGATATACACTGCAATGAAAAAATATCCGATCAAAATATAGATGATGTTACAAGGGCTCGCGGCATATAGTTCTTTTTTTCTGAAAGTAAATTGAATGTTATTCTTCCCTGGCTGGTACCGATATCAGCGTTGACGAGGAAGCTCAAAAATCAGTGATTGACACTATCGGTTCTAAAAGATAAAACTGATTGGAAACTCAGAGTGGCCATATGTTGTTATGTCATCATATAGGTATCGGTCAAATTACAGGTAGCCCTAGCTTGCAAAATAAGCCCCCGTAAATATGAAAATATCAGTCTATAAATAAAAGGCAAAACGGACCTAAATCAATCTAGAAACTCACTCGATGCAAAGACCACTTAAGCTAGATAACTTTGTATTTATTCAAAACTAGTTCAGCTTTTTTTGGTCGAAAACACGACTTTTTATTCTCATCTTCATATTTTGGCCATTGCGCAAATTCACGGAGGCTCGTTTTGCAAGTATGGACTAGCTACCTGTAATCAAATATTTAAACTAGATATCATTTGAATACACATATTCCGCACAAGACGTTCACCTGATGGAACAACGAATGTTCAGTTTCCTCTGCACAAAAGCAATGCATATATATTAACACTGCTTTAAAAAATGTCGTTTCTGTCGAGAAAAAAGACGAATTCAACTTCGGCAATATTGCTTAAGGGTAAAAGCCCTATAAACACAAGGAATATCATGCAGATGAAGCCTATCACCATAACGACGAGGATGTCTTCAGTGGTATGCTTACTACGCGCGGGGAAAATTTTACGTTTGAATAATGAGATATCCGAATGTCATAAACATTTATCATGATGTCGTGAGTTTCAAAGTGCGAGCAAGCGCAAGTGACAGGGATGAAACTGCAGAAATACTGTGGATGCTCTAAAAAGCAACCCTCAATCTATTATGTCTCAAGAAAACACCAACTGTCTTAATTGTAACGAGCATGCAGGGAATCAGTTTATTTTAAGCCAAACGAGAGAGTCTCAGGTTGAACTGCAAACATTGTCGTTGACAACAAAATGGAGTATAATTCTGTGAATGTCAGGATTGTTTAATAAAATAGGTCTTGAGCAATCTCACTTCCCAGCGTAGATTTTATAGTTACTGGATTTAAAAGAGTGCACAATCTCTACCACCTAAGACCAAGGACTACTTTGAGTTGATTTTCTCGGCGCCATTTTTATTTTGCGTAGCATGTACCTGGTGTTGTCTTTATGCGCATTCATCCACAATCCAGAATATCCTGTTTCGAGTAACAGGACATCTAACGGTCCGGGATTCTCGTAGAAAGAACAGTTTTTTAGATGAGCCTGCTGAGTATTTAATAGTCCTATAACAATATGGCCTGGTGGAAAGACAAATTATTCGCCGTGAATTTCCAATCCAAGCCCGTTAGACTGGAGACAGTTGTGAATGATCAATTTTCACGTTTCTATTGTTCATTTTTTCAGCTATCGTTTCTTTAACCCTTGCGTCTGAACAGCATCCTACATCTTCTGAAGCGGTGCACAGATACTCATGACAGCAAGTGAAATAGCAGCACAGATAAACGCCACCCAAGCAGAATAAAGCTATTATCAGTACGCCGAATAACGCAAATTCTGTATCGTAGATTCCACTGTTATCTTCTTTGCCATGAACAAATCCATTCCCCATGATGGCAGCGAGGAGAACAACGGCCTCGACTTCTCTTATCCTCATTTTAACGGGAACAACGATCAGCACAATTTTTCTGTGTAAGATCTATGTAATTTTTAAACTGCACACCCAGAGGTCAAACGAGGATGGCGCTTCATTCTTCTCAAATGTCATCAAATCTTTCGCGGATGTCGCGCACGTGTACGTATTTGGTATTTTCGCCAATTTTAAATTTCGATCACTACTTTAACCCATTAAAAACTACTGAAAATTTCTTAGTCTTCTTCCTTGTCCTTTGTTTTGTTAAAAGTAACAAAAAATTGTTAAAAACCATGCTATTTTGCTCTTTAAAACCCCCGTGTAACATCAAACTTGATTACCAACGGCACTGTTGTTTTTTGTTTTTTTTTATTATTATTGTGTCCTTAACTGTTTATTTCACTTCTCTGATCCTCCAGCAGTAGAAAATCGTGCTTCGAGAGACCGACAACAAAAGGAGATTAGAAATCTCAATGGTTGATCGTGCACACCGCGCTTCTTCGACTAGAGAAGTTTTTCAAACTAAATTAGTCAAGCGATGGTTTCGTAGCTAAGGCCCCACGATCAATTAGGTACATTGAGTTATCTTTATAGACCAGAAATCAGCCGATTGCCCTCAGCACGAAATGAAATCAGCGGGGTCCAAGATCTTGTCAGCATTAAATTTATCACAAGATCTAAGCTTCAAAGAAATTAGGCCTCCAATTGTCAACACACAAAGCATCGTTTGAATGTAATTTGTATGATTCAAACTTAATTTGGTCCGGGTGCACTACGCTGACAATATTCGTTTGGCTCCATCAAAAGTTTCGAAATAATTTGTCTTCGCCAAATTTCGTGAGGTATGCTCGAGTATGGATTCGTGGTCGAGTTGAACTTCGAATTACGTGCTGTGTTTTATTGAAATAGTTCGAAAAAATTGATTTGAATCTCGTTGAATTGAATGATAATTATATCCTTACGCGAAAAAAGAAACCGTCCATAGAGAAGCAGATGTTTTAACAGGGTGAATTTGACTGTGATGCGAAAAAGTAAAAGTTAGCAAGGAACGTAAATGAAAACTGAGGCGTTGGATAATCTCCTTTCTAACGCTTTTTAATACCGCGTCATGAGCAAAAATTTCCAAATAGCTAGGTGAATTCGAGGTAGCATTTTGTTTTTTCAATTTTTTTTTACGTGGTTGATTAGGTAATAAAATTGCTTACATATTCTGAGATGTAGAGCACGGATATAGCTTTTTATCAAAGCGTTGCACAATTTGTCACTGAGAGTGACATAATAGGAAATTGAATAGGAAATTGTCCATGACTAGCAGGCAATCTAAAGAATCTGAATAAAAACAATAATTTTAATCACCTTTCTACATTTTGTTTCTTTTTACAAGTCAAACTCAGAGACTTGCAAAGTAAAAACACAAGGAGAGTAAGCTACAACGGAAAATCCTTCGAAACAAGTAGATCTTTCGCAAGTTATAGTCACCAATAAACCATTTCGATTTTCATTATTCGTGCAAACCTTTTAAAACCTTAGAAATATTTGGTATCAGAGGAATGACACTTCCATGGCCAAACACTTGACAAAAATTAAAAGATAACGCGGGTATCCCTTCCATACATTTATTCACGCAACACATTCATTTTCAGAGAAATTTCTCAAGTGTATTATTTCATTTCGCAGAAGAAAAAAAAATGCAATCAAATTTTGCCATCTCCTCATTTCTTTCTACCAGAAAAGACCAAAGCTAACTCTCATGGAAAAGATGTAAATAAAGGCCGTACTATATTTTGCGATTTAAATCGTTGAACATACTAAATTGTAAATCGTGCAAAGATTGAATGAGGGGTCTGAGTTTTTCGGGAGTCCGAGGTTTAACTTTCCAAGATCTGAGGTTTCGTGACACTCTCTTCCAGGAGAAATAATTATTTCTTCAGCTCTTGATGTAAATTTCATTTTCCCGTTTAAAATAATTTCAAATCGAAGTTCCCATTGGAGTCTTACCCAAACTCGAACTCAAATTTAAACTCTATAGTTCGCGCTTCATTCGTGGGCGCATTGGAACATAGCAAAATGGTTGTTAACCACAAGCTGTCAGTCACATGGACGTGCATGAACCAAGCTCAAGATACTACTGGAAACGTGAACTTGGCAGACATTAAAGGTGTTTTTTGAGTTCTGATTGTCAAGCGGCATCCCGAGATACGAATCTTCCATCTTCACCGTTTGATTGTCGCATAACAATTGTAAAATATTGTGACAGATTTCAGCCTGCCTGAAAGTGAGATCAAATTCTCTTGATTGACGTTTACCTTCAAATAGTAGCTTGTAAATTGAAAAATCTGTCAGATTTCACGCCTGACATAAATTTTTCCAGCTCCGAGGCAGAACGACGGCGCCTTTGAAGTTTGGTAAACCTCGACCAATTTGGCAGAGTAAAAAAAGTCTCTCTTGTTCTACGGAACTGATAAAAAAATCTGGTTGTTTTTCGCAAAATAATAGAACCAGCAAATTTGACCGTTTGATCTACGAAATTGTTTTTATTCGAGAAATCATACCTTCGCCAAACTCTTCACCTGAAACTCGGTTATATAGCATTTTGCCTCTAGGAATTGAACCCATAAGGATAGAAAACAATCTCTCTTTTGTTGAGTTACCTTGTCTGTTTTCGTTTCTCGTTTTCACATTTGACTTGGTATTGACGTGAAGAAACTTCGAAACGTCGGCAAGTATTTTACGGAGAGTTTTTAAGTATTCTATAAATTTTAACAAAGTTCTGCCTTTGTTTACTGAGTGTAAGTAACACATTCGAGAAAACAAGCGGAAATTAAAGTTAAAGCTTACAGAGAATCATGATCAGTAACGAATGAAATGGAAGTTGAAGATAATTTGCGTATTAATAGGAAGGACCAAAATGAAGAGGGTAGAACTGACTGCTTTCTCTGAGGGAGATTATTTCATATTAATTAATTGTTCGTTTGCGATTGAATGGAAAGGAAGAAAGTTTATTAAAAACTCCACTTCTTTTCACTTTTTAAACCAGGTGCTTCATAACCATTCTGATCAGGATCATTAGGCACCTTCCCTTTTC